AAAAAAAAAAAAAAAAAAAAGATTGTGGTCTCTATTTACAAAAGGAAACTGAGGCTCAGTAAGACCAACAGGCTGAAGATCACACACCCTTTTCTGCCCGCCACCCAAGGCCAGGATTCTAACCACCAAGAATAAGTTCGCAGCTCCCCATTAACCAGGTCTGCCCCCAGGGTCCACGAACCCTGTCTCCAGGCTGTGGGTCCCAAACCAGATCTTTCACTCATTCAACCTGGCTCCCTTTGTGTCTCCCCTAGGAGGCATCCCTAACCCTCTCAGTCCCTCTCAGGGTCCTTCAGTGTGTATCACTTGTGCTCAAGGTGTATCTGGTAACTTACACTGACACCCTCCTTTCTCTCTCTCTCTCTATCTCTCTCTCTCTCACACACACACACAAGTACACGTTGCAGGGGAACCTCAGCAGAAATAGTAGCGAGGAGAAAAAGACATAGCCAGGACGAGCATCAGTTTTGTGCTCCCGGACCCAGGCTCTGGGACCGCAGGCGCCGGCGAGACAACCCACAGCTGGGCGCTGGACCTGCTCCACAACCGGGCGCAGTTCTGTGCACAGCCACCAGATGACTCCCGGCTCTCATCGGCAGGGCTTGTAGTTGGGCGCTGTGGCCGCCAGATGGTGCCCGAAGCCGTGGCTCCGAGGGCAGTGCCCAGACCAGGTGGAGCGGAGTCCGGGCGGGCCTTGCAAGCAGTAGCATCAGAGCACGTGACGCGCCACCATCTCCGGCCGCCTCCTCCCCGCGCCATGACCCAGCCGGTCCCCCGGCTCTCTGTGCCCGCTGCGTTGGCCCTGGGCTCGGCCGCGCTGGGCGCTGCCTTCGCCACCGGCCTCTTCCTGGGTGAGCAGGGCCAGGCTGCGGCACCTTCCGCAGAGCCCCAGCGGGCGGGCGGGAGCAGACGGAGGGTGCGGAGGAGAACCCACGAGTCCACGCGGGCGGCTGCAGTTCTGGGTAACCACCGGGCACCCGGGAGCCGCAAGCCCTGACCCAGCACTCTCCTGGCAGGGAGGCGGTGGCCCCCGTGGAGATTCCAACGACAGCAGCGCCTGCTTCCGCGCGAGGACGACCCCCTGTGGCAGTATGTGCTCAGCCGCTCCATGCGGGAGCACCCGGCGCTACGGAGCCTGCGGCTGGTCAGCAGGGCGGCAGGGGGCGGACCCGAGGGGGCCCACGTGGCTGTCACCTTTGGCAGGGCTGCGGCCTCTCCGGGCTTCCGGCTTCCCTGGGCGGGGCGGGCGCGGCGGGCATTACGAGGGCCGGTCTCCCAAGCCACACCCAGTGCCACGCCCTCAGGGGCTTCAGAACCTAGGGCTGGGGGTGGGGTAATGACTGGCAGCACTGGTGTCACCTTCTCCGTGCACACAGCTGACCCTGGAGCAGCCGCAGGGCGATTCCATGATGACCTGTGAGCAGGCCCAGCTTCTGGCCAACCTGGCGCGGCTCATCAAGGCCAAGAAGGCGCTTGACCTGGGTAGGGTGCGCCGCGGGCATCCCTGGGGCCGAGTCTCCGGGTCCCCACCTCTCGGCTGAACCTATCCATGTCCCGGTCCCCAGGCACTTTCACAGGCTACTCCGCCCTGGCGTTGGCCCTGGCGCTGCCCCCAGAAGGGCGTGTGGTGACCTGCGAAGTGGACGCGAGGCTCCCGGAGCTGGGGCGACCGCTGTGGAAGCAGGTGAGCGTCCCAATCTCCTGGGCCCGCCAGCTTCTGGCCAGAGGGCACGCTGACTGACCCTGCTCCTTCCGTAGGCCGAGATGGAGCACAAGATCGACCTTCGGCTGAAGCCTGCCCTGGAGACCCTGGGTGAGCACCGCAGCAGGAAGGGCCTTGGTGCTAGTTCCCAAACTGGGCCACTGGGCGCGAGCTAGTGACCCGGTGTGCTGGGCGGGCACAGGGAACTGACAGGGCCCCCACTGCGGCCTCCTGACCGCATGGTATGCGGCTGCATGAAGGGGTGGCAGGGCCGGTGTCCTGAGTGGCCCGCCCCAGCCGGCTGCCATCCGTCACAGCACCCGAGCCAGCTGGGCAGGGATTCCGGCCGCCGACTGCCCACTCAGCCCCATCTGCCTCCCTCCCCTACAAGACGAGCTGCTGGCGGCCGGCGAGGCCGGCACGTTCGATGTAGCGGTGGTAGACGCGGACAAGAAGAACTGCACAGCCTACTACGAGCGGTGCCTGCAGCTGCTGCGACCCGGAGGCGTCCTAGCAGTAGTCAGCGTACGGAGCAAGTCCCCTCTCCGGGCGGGGTCCCAGTCTTACCCCCTTGCCCCGCCCTATGCCCCGCCCAGTCATCCATAGGCTCCTCCCTTCAGGACCTTCGTCGGAAGCTCTGGCCCGCCCCTCCTGACGGCTGCCCCCCTCCACAGGTTCTGTGGCACGGAGAGGTGCTGCAGCCTCTGCAGGGGGACGAGGTGACCGAGTGCGTGCGAAACCTAAACGAGCGCATCCGGCGGGATGTCAGGGTCCACATCAGCCTCCTGCCGCTGGGCGACGGTCTCACCTTGGCCTTCAAAATCTAGGGCTGGCCCTTAGCCAGTGGGCTAGAGGGAAGGAACCCGGAAGCCGAGACATTGATCCAGAGTTTGAAACCCGACAATAAAGTGGGGCTGGGACACGCGAACTAAGCGTCGGTACCTGGTGCTGAATGGGGAGGGAAGGCAGGCCCAGTGCAACCTTCTCAATGAAAGCAGGTCTTGCCCTTGCTGGAGAAGTCCTGAGAACCTCCTCATGCTAGTCCTATGGCCCCCCTGAAGGAACCTCCAGCGGGCAGGAAGCAGGTTATCAAGTTTTAATTGCCTGGGCCACATGCAATAAACAGGCAGGCACCTCAGCTCTGCAAGTTCACCTCCATTTCACAGACAAGGGCTGGGAACAGGATAGTTTGGTCTCTCTCAGGGCAGCTGAAGTTCATGTTGGGTGCAGCTGGGATTGGTGGCGCCACCTGGGCAAGGGACCAGGTTGTCAGTACTTCTATAGATTACACAGTTCTGACAGAACTCACCTCTGTGCTAGAGGCCCTAGTCAATGGACAGCAACTCTAGGAACCAGGCCCTAAAACTTGAGGACCTCAAGCTTGAATATGTGTATATCCTGCCCTCCCCCTTATGTCCTAAAGGAAGGTGAGAAAGATCACTGGCCAGGGAGGTGTGAAGACAGGCCTATAGGTAACAGACCTATGTATGGCAATTTTTAGCATGTTCCCTAGAAAAGGATAAAAAGAACTTCTGTCTTCATCTACTAAGGGAGAGGGAGCCAGGCTTTATTGAGCACCTTCCAACCAGGTGCTTAGCTGTTTAAATCTCTCCATCCCACAGGAAGAGGTTCTGGCCACTAATATTGCCTCAGGCAGAAACTGCATTAACATTAAAATACAATGCTACAGCCCCGGTAGTGGAAGTGTTACACAAGAATTGCTGAAGGCCACAGGCAGCCACAGCTGGTGATTTTCAGAATCCTTCTAACTCCTGGGACATGCCTAGCATTCTGGACAATTGTTAGGGACCTGGCTGTAAACATACCCCTTTCTCTCTGAACTCATAAAAGCGTATCAGGGTACACATGGGTAAATAGTTCCAATTTAAGCAGATCCTTGACCAGGAGGACCACTGGTTGGTTAACTTGGGGGCAAGCAGGCTATGAGATCAGGTTTCCTCCCTGCAGGGCACTTCCAGCAATGGCTTAAAGTTATCTGGTCTACCTAACATTTCTCTTATGTATCACATTTAACTTCCATGGACATCTTATCAGTTTTTCTTCTTACCTACCCAATAGATCCTGACTCAAACACGTTGGTTCAAATTCTAACCGTCTATCATAAGTCACATGTCTGAAGAGGCCTGTCAAGCTCCAAATCATTCTTCAGGTCTAGTATTACAAATGTGTTGAACAGTTTGTTAAGGGAGAGGTTTTCTTCAAACTATCTTCTCCCAAAAGAAAATTTGCTCTTTACTGCTTTTTCCAACCAGAATCATCTATTAGTGTCTACCACTCATGTCCAGGCGAAGGCCAATGGGCAGATGGCCTGAAGGGACTGTCTCTGAGCACTTAGGCTCAGCTTTTCAGTGTATGCTTGGAAGAAAATGAGTAATGACCCTCAGTAGGACCCGTATACACCCTCCAGCCCCCACAGTCCCTTAGATTACTGACACTACTTGCTCTGTATCTCTACACCTACTCTCATTGTAACATTCAGCACTGGCCTTCATTTGCCTTTGTCACTTATTCTCCAACTCCTCCTGGTTGATACAATGATACAATGTAGTTCTGCACAAACTTACAAACTGAAAAGTATAAAAGCATGTATCTTCTTGTTTTATTGTAGTCTTAATTTAAAAATTCATGGCATTATTCTAAAGACAGAGGGCTCTGTGGCACAGATTTAGGTAAAGAGCAAAATGCTCACCAGGAAAATAACGTATTAACTAGATACTGGGGAGATCTGATCCCCTAGCTGGCAAAAATTTTTTAACTTTGCAAATACTTGGAGTCATTAATAATGTATATTTGTTTTATTCATAATTTGTAATGTTCTGGGATACCAAAAGTAATTCTAATGATGGCTGAATTTAACAAAAATGTTTTAACCTCATCTTAAAACATCCACTGATCCATCTCATTCACTGGCAATATTCAGTGTTTAAAGGAACATAAAAAACATGCACACAATTGCACAGTTTTCATAAAGGTCTATTTCATTATTGGTGGGTAGCGCATTTAACAGTTAAATACATTTAAATAATGTATAGGTGACTGCACGACTGCAGCATTGGTAACTAGATAGATAACCAATTCAACTAGAAACCAACTAACAAGTAACTGTCTAAATATTTAAAATACAGCTCTTGTTTGATCATCCTTTGTTTTGATCACCTTCTTGGGGAGAAAAGAGCCTGCTGGTCACAATGGAAATATATTAAGGCCAAATCTTCTGATATCCATTCCCAAATGTTACTTTTCAGCTGGATTAAGCCTCCAACTCCAGGGCAAGCCCAAGTTTGTGGCCTCCAGCATTAATGCTCTTCCCATCTACGAGAGCAGACAGTGTAAGCTTCACACCTGTAAACAAAAGCAAACCACCATGACATGCCTGAAACACCAGTCTCAGTCTTCTTCAATAACCACCCAGAGCCTGCCTGTCAGTTGACCAAACAGCCACCAGAGGGTGCTTGGAAAGATCTGAGACATCAGAAAAACTGGGCTGGGAAAGCACCACACAAGCAGCACCCTTGGTGCTAGGTTAAGGCACCAAGTCACAAAGCATAAAAATGTTAATGTCTTATAATCTGTATGCTAGGGCTGATGTGTCTATGTCCACAAAATATATTATTTTTCAAAGTGTATTCGAAAAAGGGCAGGCACACTGGCTCACACCTAGCACTCTAGAAGGCCGAGGCAGGTGGACTGCCTGAGTTCACAAGTTTGAGACCAACCTGAGCCAGAGTGAGACCCCTGTCTCTGAAAAATAGCCAGGCTTTACACCTGCAGCCCCAGCTATTTGAAAGGCTGAGGCAAGAGAATCACTTGAGACCAAGAGTTTGGGGTTGCTGTAAGCCATGACCATGGTACTCTAGCAAGGGTGACAAAGTGAGACTCTGTCTCACAAAAAAAAAAAAAACCATATATACGGTAAATATTCTAATTGGTGAATGTGGGGAAAGAGTATATTATTGTTCACTGTACCATTCTTTTGACTTTTCTTTAGGTTTCAAAATAGTCAAAGTTTGAGGGAAAACCCTACTGGAAGGAGAAATGTTCCTGGTAATTTAGAACCTTATTGGGTCGAATGGCCCAAGAATCAGCCATCACCTGGGAACTCCTTAGAAGTAAAGAAGCTCTCTCACACCAGACCTTCCAGATCAGGATCTGCTTTTCAGCAAGACTCCGAAGGTGAGTAAAGCACACACTGAAGTTTAAGAAGAGCTGCTTGCTCTGAAGAACACAGTAAGGTTCTAAATAATATGCAAAGTAAACAAGACTACACACAGAACTAATGAGTGAACGTTGATAAAATAAAGATATACAAGATATTTCAGACACAAGAGAAGAAAATTAATAGGGAATGGAGAACTATCTGGGGGATATGCCATGATAGATGCAAGTTCCAAATGGCTCAGCAAAAAACAAAACAAAAAAGGAACAAAAACTTGTGGCAAAGGTTAAGGATAAGTATGTATTTATTGCACTCTTCTTATAACTCTTTTCTATGCTTGAAAGGTTTCCAAAATAAGAAGCTAAGGAATGAAAGCTTATTCTAAAATACTGTCAAAACAATCCTACTTGATCAAGAATACTTACCAGGCCTCAGAGTTTGAGTGTAGCCCACTCCAATTAAACTAGAGTTGTTGACTTTTGCCTAAAATAAAATTCAAAAACAACTGTAAAAATATATACATATATATTTGAATGGAGAGACAAAGACCCTCTATGTTTCCCCATGATGTAATCATGCAGTATTGAGTTTTTTATTCATGTATGAGCTAACATATTACAATTTAACATCTTATGTTAATCCAAACAAAAGCCAGTATGCTTAATTACTTGTCCATTCAACTCACAATCAAACTGTCAGGACACGATACTCCTGATATCCATCAGAATGTGTCCAAAGACCTCAAACTTCCCATACAGCACAAATGCCTAAGCACTCTAATAAAAATTGTCCTTTTTGTTGAGATTAGTCTAGCACTACAAAGCCAAGCCAAAGTGTAGCCATCCACTGGGCTCACTAGAGGTGAGGCAGGCTCGTCTCCAAATGTAGGGTGTTTAAATCTGAGACTTAGTTATACACATTACTACTTTCAGGGCTCTTTCTTAAGAATCAAAACCGTGAATGTCAGAAAAATCTCCAAATGGCAAGCACTTCTGATCAATCAGATCATGTAACAATCTTTTACCTCACATTCTCACATCTCTCATTAATGCTGTTGGTTCTGGCTGCATATAAATAACCTGACTCTGCTTGAGAGGAGATTCCAAGGGGGGCATCATTTACCAACCCACAGGACCCTGCCTTCCTTGCATAATCCCAGCATTTCAGAATTTAGTTATAGACTTTGAAGAGCTGGAAGGAACCCTGGAGAGCAAAACGTATTTGGTTTGGAGAAGCTCTTTCTAGCTCCATTCTCTACCACTGGCAATAGCTGTAAGCCACACCAGAGACCTATGACTATAAAAGGGGACACTTGCCCCACCTCCAGAGCCTAAGCTGTCTAGATACACAACTATGCTCTTCAGCATTAAGGTAACTAACAGCCTCTGGGAACAAAACAGATTTGGAGATGATGACATGTCTACACTCTTAACATCAAGACAGCTGGATTCAAGCGATTTTTTTTTTTTTTTTTTTTGGAGACAGAGTCTCACTATGATGCCCTCAGTAGAGTGCCATGATGTCACAGCTCACAGCAACCTCATACTCTTGGGCTCAAGCAATTCTCTTGCCTCAGCCTCCCAACTACAGGAGCCCACCACAACGCCCAGTTACTTTTGTTGTTGTTGTTCAGGTATTTTCGTTTGTTTAGCAGGACCAGGCCAGGTTCGAACCCACCAGCCCTGGTGCATGTGGCCAGTGCTCTAACCACTGAGCTACGGGCATCAAGCCAAGTTCCTATTTTTAACAGC